AGTATGTCACAAATAGCCGAATTCTTCCACCAACCTTGTAAATACACCATTAAACTTGTAAGCACTATTGGTCTGTGGCAGTCCATCGAGTCACGACATCCATCAAAATAATAAAATTTATCCTTCTCTAAAATTGCAAACTCCGAACTTATCCAACCTCGCACTAGAAGAGTGAATATACTTAATACAATTTTGGATGCCTTCAATGGACTTTACTAGTTCTTTCATCCCGTCATTCGCAATCAAATTAATTATGTGACAAGCACCTCATATGCAAGTTTTCATCAAGCATAAGACTATCATCCTTTCGGATTTGCTTTTTTAAATGCTTCACGACCACATCATTGAAACTCGCATTGTCCACGGTAATGCTAAACACCATTCGTATGCCCCATTCGACCAACTTCTTTTCAATACATATTCCTATATCTTCACTCTTATGAGAAGTAATTTTACAAAAAATTGGCACCCTTTTGTGTGAGTGGAAATACGAGTCAATAAAATGGGTTGTCATCACCATGTAATTGATATCTATCCAATTTTGGATAGAGGTCCAAGTATCGGTCGTGATACTCACACAGAGATCACCAATGATGCTTTTTATCTTCGCTTTCTCTTTGCAAAATAAACTCCACACCTATTCGCAATCATTCCTTGATTAGGAATCTTATAACGAGGTTGAATATCAAGAATGAAATCTTTGAAGTTCAGTTGCTCTACGGTTCGAAAAGGCATCTCCACTTTGATAATCCACTTCACACACATCTTGTCGAGGATGCCTTTTCGAACCATAGAGAAACCGGACTCCAACGAATTTATTATTGATCTTTAACCTCGTTATAAGATTCCTAATCAAGGAATGATTGCGAATAGGTGTGGAGTTTATTTTACAAAGAGAAAGCGAAGATAAAAAGCATCATTGGTGATCTCTGTGTGAGTATCACGATCGATACTTGGACCTCTATCCAAAACATTAAATACATGGTGGTGACAGCCCATTTTATTGACTCGGATTTTCACTTACACAAAAGAGTGCCAATTTTTGTAAAATTACTTCGGCGTGAAGATATAGGAAAGTATGTTGAAGAGAAGATGGTCGAATGAGGCATAAGTAAGGTGTTTAGCATTAGCATGGAGAATGCGAGTTCCAATAATGTGGTCGTGGAGTATTTAAAAAAGCAACTCTGAAAGCATGATAGTCTTATGCTTGATGAAAACTTGCGTATGAGTCGTGTTTGTCACATAATTAACTTGATTGTGATGGATGGGATGAAAGAGCCAGTACAGTCCATTGAAGACATGTGAAATGCGTGAAGTGTATTCATTCTTTTAGTGTGAACTTGGATAAGGACCGGAAGTTTGCGGTTTTGTAGAAGAAGGATAAAATGTCAACTTTCCCGATGGATGTAGTGACTCGATGGAATGCTACATACACGATGCTTACAAGTTTAAAGATGTATTTACAAGGTTGGTGGAAGGATTTCAGTCACTTGTGACATACTTTGAAAAGGGGAAGGGTGGGGCCTCCGAATAATGAAGATTGGGAAAAGGCTACGGGATTTGCCCATTTCCTCGAGAAGTTTTATGATGTCACCGTCAAGCTTAGTGCCACCAAGACTCCGACCTCACATCTTGTTTGAAAAATCTTGATAAATTTGAAGATTGAATCTAAATTTAGAGTTAAAAAAATATTGTCTTGCAAAATGTGGCTACTTCTATGAAGAGTAAGTTTGATAAATATTGGGGCTCTTTCGAAGATATGAACATCTTAATGTTTGTAGCCCAAACACTTGATCCGCGATATAAATTTCAATTGATAAAGTTGCAATTAGGGGAGCTTGGCTACACCCTTAATGAAGTTGAGCACATTAAGAATCAGGTGAAAGCAAACTTGTATCTTAGGTATGAAACTTATAAGGGAACAAGCATCGAAAAGTCACATCCACCACGACGATGAGGATGATGGTGTTGATCATGTTAGTAATGACGATGATGTGGAATCGAGGATAAAACTGAAACTTAATAGACAAAGAGAGGAAGCAAAACTCAAAGAGATAGCTAATGAAGTTGACAAGTACTTTAATGAGGCATATGAAATCACAAGAAACGATGATTTTGACTTATTGGGGTGGTGGAAAAGAAAAATCTGAAGTTACCCTATTCTTTCCAGGATAGGATTGCTAAGGATGTACTTGTTTTCCCTAGTTCGACCATAGTGAAAATGCATTTAGCCTTGGAAGAAGGATTGTGGATCGGTTTAGAGATGGTCGATGCCTTAGTTTACACAAGTGATTTGCTAAGAGGAGAGGAATTTCAATTTCACAAGAAGCCGAAAGAACAATTTGAGTTCTACATGGAACTCGAACAATTGGAATTGGAAAAGAATAAGTAACTATTTTATTAATATTTTTGTATTCATATAGTGCATGAAATATTTTTTAGATTATTGACTTGTTTGTATTATTTTATAGGTATGTCCAATATAAATGAAATGCCACAACCTCAAGCTAAAAGTACAAATCCACGCAAGTTTGGGTTTAATAAACTACCACCCCATCCGATCAAACCTTGGTGCTACTTAATCAAGCAAATTAATAGACGAGGTTCTTGTAGTTTAATTTTATTATAATTAGTGTTATTTCTTTTAAAATATAATATTTTTATTCTTTTAATGCAATGTTTTTTCTTATGCACGAGTTGTGGATTGGAACTTGTAGAGATTGGTGATGTTGGACTGTTGCTGCGTTTTTAATTTATTTTGGAACTTTCAATTATGGAATGTTTTATTGTTGGGTTGATGGACTTACGACCACCTTTATCCGTGACCCTCCCATTGTGTCACAGAATTAAAACAAAAAAAAAAAAATTAAAAAAAAGGGAAAAGGTCACCATAAGCGTCGACCCAAGTCACATTGTGACCTCAGGTCGCGACCAATTTTTTTTGCAGAAATGGGATACTTGTCCTATTTTTATTGGACAAGTGTATCTTTTTGTTTCTAAAAAAATAAAAAAAAAATATTAAAATTCGTATTTTCAATTCTCTACAATTAGAGACCACACTTGATATATTTTAGAACACAATTGTAATTTTTAAATAAATTAAAATAAAATAAATATTTAGGTTGAGTTGGGTTAGAGATAAAGATAATTTGGGTTGGAAGATTGAGTTACCTTAAAATAAATATTTAGGTTGAGTTGGGTTAGGGATAAAGATAATTTGGGTTGGAAGATTGAGTTGTGTAGGTAGAGGAGAGAGAAATAATTTTTAATTGTTAGGTTGAGTTGGGTTGGGTTGGGGATAAAGATAGTCTAATCATGGAACATGGTGGATGAGTGTTTGTTCTTGCGAGTTGTGTATTATTGGTAGATGAATGTTGGGGTTAGAACTTGAATGTTGGCAGGGTGATTGAATTTGGATGTATTAAGTATTATTGGTGATTGAATATTTGAACAATGCATGTTGTTTTAACTTTTAAGATTACATATGTTGTGCCTGTTATTGAATGTAGAACTTTAAAGTTGTGTATTTTGGATTTTAGGCATCAGGTATTTCATATTTGGGCTTGGGCTCTTTTTTGGTTTTTTTTTTGGTTACCAACTTCAAATCGGTTCGGTTTCCTAGTTTACTGTTACCGAATATGGTGGTTCGGTTACCGAACCGTTTCCAACTCTCTCTCGCTCTCTATATATATATATATATTTATTTTATTTAAGTTTTAGGGGATTGGTTTGACGTAAAACCATTTGACAGGAAAATTTCCCGGTGTTATCACCTCTACTCTCTTTGTCCAGCAAAATTTAAAACCTGATTCAGTATATTGTTAGGTTGCTTCAGATGTGGTTCTCTCAACCGCGTGGCTAAGGACTGCACTGGATATCCTACCTCGATACAGCTACACTCCAAATACACGATACAAGACGATAACACTCAACATGGTGGAGATAGAAGCATGAGGTAGTAACGTACTTCATATTTTCTCACGGAAAACTAAAATTCATATTCACGTCATCTAAGATTTCCTCACATTTATCCTTTCTCAGGTATGAAAATGGTTTTTGCGGAAGATGATGACAGAGGACTTAGACATAGCAAGAGGAGAAGAGACCCTAAACCCGAATATGATGAAAAGCATGACAGGATTTATGCCCATACCCATAAAAACCATGATGAGAAATGATGTGACATGTGTGATCGGCCGACACACCACAAACAAAGTCACAGGAAAAGTGAAGATTATGTTTGGCGTAAAGAAGTCCGAAAAAAAATAGCTCAGATGAAGGAAGAAAACCAGGTGCCCGTGATAATAGAGACGGAAGAGAACACAGAAGAAGACATGACAAGGGGTACGTACAGAGCCGTGGAAGTGAGAGAAATTATGGAAAGAGATTTTTAGATGGTAAGTTATGGCAATGTGACCTTTCTCAAGTTGGAAAATGGAATTTTTATTTTGGTTCGAATTTGTAGTTAGTTATTTGTGAGGAATTTTGGTAAGTTAGCTAAAACCTCGTGATGGTACTCGGTATTCTCCTACTCATTTGATCTAAAAGATATTAAACTCTAGACACACACACACACTACATTGGTTTTATTTATGCATGAGGTAAATCGTGTCAACAGTGAAAATGCACTGATTGAAGTCCAATTTTACATGGATGAGCAAAATATTTTCTCAATTGATTTGTCAGATTTTTATTCATCTTATCATGCATATTTATATTTGAAATATAAGGTTGCATATCTCATTTCAGACATATGGTGGCTTGTTACAATTGATGAGTGATTTTTGGTTGGTGAAGTGAATGTTTGGTTGCAAGTGGGACATAAATCCAACAACAGCGAGTTGAAAACAACGACCCGCCACCCACCAACCCAAATCAAAATCCTTTCTCCATATTCTAAGTTTCCAGTTCTCACGAGCATAATCACACACACTGGACGTACAGTAAGTATGAAAAGGATCAACTCCATTCTTGGGAGATGCAAGACATTGTCGAGGGAAATGTGTCGGAGCTCCTCTGATAGCAGGCTGAGATCCAGATCATTGAGGGATTCGGGTCGCTATTACAAACTATTTTCAGGTCCGGTTGATCAGTCAGAGCCCTGTGAGACGATCTTTGTGGGAAGTTCAAGAAGAAGGTATGTGATCAGCTCCAAATTCTTGAACCATCCTTTGCTCAACGCTCTCATTGAGAAATCCAAGCATGAACTAGGTCCGGACACGAGCATAAGTATGGATTCGGATATGTCTGTGAAGTGTGAGGTGGTGCTTTTTGACCATCTCTTATGGATGCTAGAAAATGCAGATCCCAGTCTGTGTTCTGATTCTCTGGAGGAGTTGGCAGAATTTTATGTGTCTGTCTAATTTAGAAACAAACACATTTTATACTAATGTTCATATAATATTTTCTTTGTTATCTTAGTTGGATGTCGACATTATTGAATTGTTTAATTTGTGTGTTGTATTTTGAAGTGTTGATATTACCCATTTATACAAAAGGTGATAAAATAAGTACATACTATTGGGAAATAATCTAAGGCTCATATATGTGGCACAAAGTTTTGGATTGAACATGCATGAGGTAATTTTTTCAGTACAAAAATGTACCTCCATTGTTATTCTCTGCTAGTTTTCATAGCCTAGTATTGCTTTACAATATAACATAATTATTAATTTTCAATGTGGTTATTTTTTCTACACCAACAAGAATCCTATCACTCGACCAATCATCACTTATTCGATTGTTCATCTATCCAAAATATTAATGTAAATAATAATCGTTTCATTACTAGTTGTCGTATATAACTAGTAAAATTAACAACACCAAAGATAAGCTTGTAAGCCAAAGGAAACACATGTTGTGCCTTTACGTCTGCACCTCTGCGAGATCTCTGAGAATTTTTATTTTTTTTTTAAAAAAAAATCTATTTAAGTTCTTATAGACAATATAGTTATGCGTTTGATCCTCGATAACTGAGAATATCGATGTAGAAAAGTATTATGGATAAACTTAATTAGTTTGTCCTTGTTCAAATCTATTTACTATATAAAGAGACAACTCTTTCAAAAAATAGTAAGTTTTCATAGTGGGCCCTAAACTATTCCTTCTATTTATAAAATTCCGGTTATGTCCCACATGTTCATCAATAATGATGTATTTATTTATTTTTAAATTCAGTTTACATGTACATACTCTCCCAATTAATAATATATATTTATTTATTTTTTCCAATCTTTATGGTTAATAGTTTGAAACATAACTCATTAATTTTATTTTTAAACTATAACCAAGTACACACTCTCCTAATTAATAATACCTTTATTTATTTATTTATGTTTCTCAATATTCGTGGTTAATAGTTTGAAGACTCATTTTGATAGTTTTTTTTTTTTTCCTTTCTAATCCATATGGTTAATAGTTGGAAGTAAAACTCTAATAAATTATTTTTGTAACTTTAAAAAAATATTATAAACCACATTTTGTTAAAATATTTGCAATTTGTATAGATATATTTTTCATGTTCCTAAATATCATTTATTTAGTTTCATAACATAATGTTTATTATTAAGAATATATTGCATTTGTTTTTAATTTCTATTGTTATTGTAATTATTAGAAACTTTAATGAGTTATATAAAATTCATTATGTGAAACATAATATTAAATCAATTATTCATCTTTCAATCCCTGCACACATGAATATCTTGCAAAAATCATATGAAAGTGATGAGAACAACATATTATTTAATATCGAAAAAATATGCAATAAAAAAGTATTATTTATAAAATTATAATATAGAATTACAACTTATTTAATAAAAGTATATGGTTTCTTAGTGGATGGTTTTATCGAAAAAACTGTCACTTTAGTGGGGTGAGATGTAAGTTCCAAAAATGTTAAATGGTTAAGTTTAGAGGTAATAGAAAAACCGTAATATTTGTTTTAATTAATAAAACTGTATGCTTCAGTTTTGTTGGAGAGTGAAAAAACCTCCACATTGTTGTTTTCTATTTTGTCGTAATAAATAAATATTTCATGTCTTTTGAGCTAACTTCATATTTTGTCATGTGCTTTGTGTTTTTAATTTTGGGTTTATCATTTTATATATGAAGAGTGTGCTAATTTTTTGTGTTACGGTTTTTTAGGATGTTGGGTTGGATTTTGTGTACAGGACTCCAAACACCAAACAATTTGATGCATTTAAACTGGACTTGGAGATTAGATTATAGACGTATGATAAAACGAGCATATAAACTTTTACAAATAAAACAAACTACAATTTTAGTTATAATGATAAATTTAACAAGCACACACATAAATAGAAGTATGTAAATAAACACTGAATAATATAGAATAGTTATTTGTACGACTGATACTTATTTCTCATGCTGATGTTTTATAGAATTTTTATTTGTATGGTTTATGCTTCATTTCTAGACTCCCAACTTTCTTTTTATATGTTTCGTGCATTTGCACGGGCACAATACTAGTTACAAAAAGAATTTTGTGAAAATGTTTGCTTTTCTAAAAACGCTGCTCTAATGAGTTTTTTTTAAATTAAAGTTTTGAGCCAAAAAACTTATCGAATAAGTTATTTACCAAACAGGCTATAGCGGATTTGACGGGTCAAACCTCTCATTTAAGTTCAATCTGCTAATTTATCTTCAATCCGCTATCTACCAAATAAATTTTTTAGCAATGACGTTTTAAGATAAATTAATGTAAATGGTACTTATGACAGAACGGGCCGCTCTGGCATTGCAAAGAATCCGGTCCAATGTAAATTGTAAAATAGATAATACAAATTAAAAAGTTCAAAGTAAATGAATTTTTGTGAATCCTCTATCCCCCAAAACGTTGCTCTAATGAGCCTTTTCTAAATCAGAGTTTTGGCTAAAAAACTTATCAAATAAGCTATTTGCCAAACAGATAAATTTAACGGGTCAAATATCTCAATTAAATCCAATCAGTAATTCATCTTCAATTTCCTATCTACCAAATAAATTTCTGAGCAATGAAAGTTTTAAGATAGGCAAAAACTTCATTATCTTGCAAGCATAAAAAGTTATGGAGGCCGGGCTGACCGACCCGCTCGGCCAAGCCCGTTATGGCAATACCTTGATGAATACAGGAAAACAAAAA